CACTAATGCAACATTTTGATAGAATGAATAAACTAGAAATCATCAAAGATATGTGTCTAATAAATACCATCTTCATTATTATTGCCCTCAATATTATATGCCCTTTATTATATACCTCACTACTATATGCCCTTTATTATACACCTCACTACTATATGCCCTTTATTATACACCTCACTACAAAACACCTCAATATTATATGCTCTTTATTATACACCTCACTACTATACACCTCAATATTATATGCCCTTTATTATATACCTCACTACTACATGCCCTTTATTATACACCTCACTACTATACACCTCAATATTATATGCCCTTTATTATACACCTCACTACTATACACCTCAATATTACATGCCCTTTATTATATACCTCTCTATTATATACACTTTATTATACACCTCAATATTATATGCCCTTTATTATAACACCTCAATATTATATGCCCTTTATTATACACCTCAATATTATATGCCCTTTATTATATACCTCACTATTATACACCTCAATATTATATGCCCTTTATTATATACCTCACTATTATATGCCCTTTATTATACACCTCAATATTATATGCCTTTTATTATACACCTCAATATAATATGCCCTTTATTATATACCTCACTATTATACACCTCCCCATTAAATCTTAATTATTTTAGCCTTTAATTTTGCTGTTATACACTTCAGCAATATACACTTCTCAATTAAATTCTGATATAAATTATTCAACCCATTACTGTAAAATACTTTATTTTCACTATTTTCGCTGAAGGAATGAGTCAGTGAAAATAAGATTCCAGCAAATATACCTTTTTTTCTATATTTTACATTCAACTCATCAGAAATCAGTGAAAATAAATTCCATACAAAACACTCAAAAAGTCTTTTCAGCGAAAATTAATTCCAGCTAAAATAAAGTATTTTACAGTATTATACATATTATTATAATCTTACTGAAAACTATGATTTCACAAAACAACAAGAGATGTAAGTGCTCACCTGTGAATCCTGAAGTACAAGTACATGAATACTGATTATTTAGATTACTACATATACCATCATTTTGACAAGGATTACTGCTACATTCATTGATATCTACATCACAATTACTGCCTTGCCATCCTTCATAACATGTACACTGGTAATCAGCAATCAAATCTTCACATCTACAATATAGGCACATATATACATGGCTTAGGATAGGATATCTTATTTGGAACATACACAAAACAAAGTCCAAAGGCATAAATACTATTATTATACATCTGTCACCGTAACACCTTAAGTTACAGTGTGCCATAATTTTGAGGTATTTTATGGGGTATTTTCATCCTACCATATTAGGAAATGCGAATTCCAAATATGGAATGATTACGTGCATAAGCATCCTCTAATAATAAAAACAAACATGGCTGCCACCAGGGTTTGACCGAACTGCACACAAAGAAGTTCGCTGATTCTGTTCTAAACATTTTTATATGGACAACCAGTTTTCAAGAGTGGTTGCCACAACCAGGTATTTAATTTTGAACCATGTATTTTTTGCCACATTATTCTGATTTTGATGCAACAAGAAATTGGCAGTATTGATTGCATTGTATATCTGAGATAGCAGACCACCTAGTAGGGCATAAAATATGATGCATTGCATAGTTGAAATAGAAATCTGAGTTAAAAGGCAGTACATAAAGTGATACTTACATTCCATTAATACAAGGTGCTGACTGACATTCATCAATATTCTGATCACAATTTCTACCAGTCCAGCCTGCTATGCAGTCACATGTATAATTACCAACAAGATCACTGCATATTCCGTCATTCTGACATGGAACACTGTCACATTCATTTATATCAACTTCACAATTAGTACCTGATACACAGACATAATGTTTGATTAATTCAGAAATTAAACTTTGCGACAAATGACTATAGAATATCAATTTAATTAGATATACATCTGTGAAAAGTTGCATTTAATACATATGAGCAAAACAACGATAATGCTCGGGTCAATCAATTTTAATCTGAAGAGACAATAAGATCAACGTCACAGGTCCTTCAGAGCGTGAATAAAGACAAGCAGCCTGTCGGATGAGATAGCTCCGCTGTTAGCAAGGCACATTTCAATTAAAGAACTGAAAATATCATTAGAAAATAAACAATATGTATAGTATCAAAGCAATCAGACTTGCTGCTTTTAACAAGAAGGCGAAAATATAACTTTTTACCCAAAATGGTAAAAATATTCACCAAAATTAGGGAATTGAACATATCATTACAAAATGAACAAATCTGAGAGAGGTCCATATTCAGTACCTATATATGTAATATCAAAGCAATTGGACTTAGGAAATTAGGGAATTGAAGATATCATTAGAAAATAAACAATATGTATAGTATCAAAGCAATCGGACTTGCTGCTTTTAACAAGAAGGCGAAAATATAACTTTTTACCCAAAATGGTAAAAATATTCACCAAAATTAGGGAATTGAACATATCATTACAAAATGAACAAATCTGAGAGAGGTCCATATTCAGTACCTATATATGTAATATCAAAGCAATTGGACTTAGGAAATTAGGGAATTGAAGATATCATTAGAAAATAAACAATATGTATAGTATCAAAGCAATCGGACTTGCTGCTTTTAACAAGAAGGCGAAAATATAACTTTTTACCCAAAATGGTAAAAATATTCACCAAAATTAGGAAAATGAAGATATCATTACAAAATGAACAAATCTGAGAGAGGTCCATATTCAGTACCTATATATGTAATATCAAAGCAATTGGACTTAAGAAATTAGGGAATTGAAGATATCATTAGAAAATAAACAATATGTATAGTATCAAAGCAATCAGACTTGCTGCTTTTAACAAGAAGGCGAAAATATAACTTTTTACCAATAATGACAAAAATATTCACCAAAAAAAAGAGAATTTGAGATTTTGACATGAAATGAACAAATCTGAGAAAAAAACATTCAAGGTACTTGCATATCAAATTTGAAAACATTCTGACTTGCGGTTTCGAAGAAGAAGTTGAAAATGTAAATTTGACGATGACGACGGACAATCAGTAATGTGAACAGCTCCGCTCATCATGGTTTTATTCAGCACTCACCCATATATCCAGTTACACAATCACATGTGTACTGTCCAATTAAATCCTGACATAGTCCAGCATTCTGACATGGTAGTGATGCACACTCGTTGACCTCATCTGTACAGTTCCTACCGTTCCAACCCAAAGCACATTCACACTTGTAACTGCGAAAAAAAGTGACAGAAAAGTTGAAGTAATAATCCACAATCCACATATCAATCCAGTGTAGTACCAATTAATAACCCCCTCCCCCTCCTGTATACTTACTCATTCACCAAATCAATGCACACTCCTCCATTTTGACACAATCCAATCAGACAATCATTGATGTTTTCATCGCAATTAGTACCACCGTATCCTATAACACATACACATGTGTAACCATTTGTTAAATCGCGGCAAAGTCCCCCATTCTGGCATGGATTGGAACCGCATTCATTAATATTTATTTCACAATCAAAACCAGAAAAACCTGCAAAAAAAGAAATAAATTATTACAATAATACTTCTCTTTTTAGTGTTATTAGTGGCAATAGCTGTGATTTTGAAAATTTTTTGTTTAAATAAAACAACATAAAGATAAAGAAATCTTACCGAATTATTGTTTAAGACAGTTGCATGAACAAAATGACCCCACACAAGCCAATGTCATTTGAAATGCAATGGACTAGGACTGAACAAATTTGTGGCAAACATTGCATGCAGAGCCGAAGTAGGAGAATTCCCACTCTTAGTA